TTGGAAAAAATAACTGATTCAATATTAATGAAATTAAAATGATTGTTAGCAAGGCAGAAAATCACTGCTTTTGTAAAAAGCTGGAGTAAAAGAATGATTATCCCTAGGTCTTAAGTGAAATGTAATTACTTTATTCCTCTCATCCACCAAAGAGTCACCCTTTCAAAACCTGCCAGTGGTAAAGGTCAGGCTTCATTGACCTGGAGAGAGAAAATTTCATGCCATTTTGCCTTCTTCGTAAGCCAAGTGAAATACTAATTAAAAATTCCAAGTGACCTTCATCGATTTCTTTACCCTTCCACTAACTGCTTTGTCCAGCAGTGGCCCTAACCAGGCGCCTGGTTCCCCATGGTCCCAGTACCGGTATCAAGCATTCAGTCTCATCTGAAGTCAGGTAGCATGGTCATGTGGAAATGGTAAACGGAACCTTTTCATAACATGTAAAATTGGAATTTGAAAAGGACTTCCTAACTTCCTCTGATTCTAAAAACAGATGTGAGTTTGGGTAGAAGTAGTCATCTTTCCTACATTTTTTCTCCCTTAGTGTTCAGATTCTATTAATCATGGCAAACTGAAATTTTACACAAGCCAACAGATTTCAAAGGCCTTGCCAAGAGGACAATTTAACCATAAGAAATCAGCTCCCCACCCTTCCCAGCCCAGAATTTCCAATGACTGAGGCAATGAATAGTTGCTTTCAGAAATAGAAGTCCGGAAAGAGCATTTGCCTCATACTTCCTGCCTGAGCACTCTGTACCGTTTGTACCCAGGGCCCCACTCCACTGATCCAGCTTCTGCAGCAGAGTGACCTTAACCTTGAGAGTGGCCCCACAGAGACTACCACTGTATCCAGGAGAATGGAGAAATGAGGATGTGGAAGGACTAGCCAAAGATAAAATGTAATTGATGGCAAAGTCCACACTGGTGCAGAGATACCTCAATTTACAAAGAAAGCCACCCTGATCCCTGGACCACGATTCCCAGGATGACATTTCTCTTCCAGTTCAATGTATGTGGATTCTTTCAGGTCTTGTAGCTCCCATCTTGTAAGCTCTCTCTGCTATTTGTATTGTCTCTCATTCTATCAAGCTGTAAATGATGGTCACATCAACACTATAATCCTGCCCCATCTCTCAAAGTCAACACCAAACTGCCCCATTTCTGGGATGCCTGGAGGTCTCAATGACCTTTCACATGAAGCGTCAAAACCCCACAAATGCAAGATCCTCCCACCAGCCTCTTCCCTGCATCCTGAATTTCCCATCCCATGATTTGTAACACCAAACATGCAGGAATACCTTTTACTTCTCCCTATTTCAACAGCCTGTATGTAACAGGATAATTTCCTAGTGCTCTAGTTGTTCTAGTAAGCATAGACACTGCCCTGGCTAACCCCACATCATCTCCTGTCTGCAATATCATAACAGAGTTGTCTTCCTACAACTTGGATCAGATGAGGTACTCTAACAGTTTAAAAACATTTAATATTTCCTTTTTGTCCACTAAGTAAATACAAATGAAAAACAAATAAGACAATTTATTGATTTTACCCACTACCATCTAAGAGTTTTCTAACAATTTTAACTGTGTGAACATTCTCTGAGCATGCTATCAGCTAAATTAAAAGAGGGCTCCATCTACTCTTTGGACTTACTATATATTGCCTTTCATAAAGACTTCCTTATTCCTGAATAACATCAAAAAGAAGTTGGAGGAATGGTCCCTCCAGAGCCTGAGATGTCACACACTACCTATGCCTTCCAGGACATATGTTGACCCATTGTGCCTTCTGGGAGAATTTCACTGCTAGACAACCACTCACAATGTTGGCTCTTAGAAGCTGTGCATCTAACCTTCTCTCCTGACAGGAGAGGCCTAGACCCATCAGCTCCAGATGAAGGTCCACACTCTTGCCGAGGTCATGGAACCCTGATTCCTGTATTCTCTGCTGCCCTGAAGCTCACTGTTTCAGAAATTCACTACCTTCTTTATAATAATTTCCCTCTGGTAGTGGGTTTCTGTTCCCTGCAACCCAGAGTTTAACCTAAAAATGTGTTCTTGGGTATACCAAGCCACTAAACAGGCCAAGAATGATCTCATCCTTATTCCAGGTCTTTCTTATGAGCAGAGAACAAGGAATGCTTTTGTTTGCATGTCCCTCGGACACTCGTGATGAAATTTAATTACTGTTGTAACAATGTAGCTGGGCAAAGACTTCAAGAGATGATTAGGTGGTGAGAGCCCTACTGTGGCAAGAGGATTACTGTGGTTATCATAGGTATGGGTTAATTATCACAGGAGTGGGTTAACTATAGGAGTAGGTTAGTTAGTACAAGGCTTGGGTTGGTTGGGTTAGTAGCTACTACTCCAAGAAAAGGTTAATTATCACAGTTTAGTTGTGGCAGAATTGGGTTTGAGTCCTCCTCACCCCCACATGCATTTTTGCCATGTGATGCCTTCTTCATGGGGTGAGACTTCAAGAAAGCTCTCACCAGTATTAGCACTGTGCATCATTTATAATTTACCAAGTATGTGGCATTCTGTTACAACAGCAGAAAACAGACTCAGGCAAGGAATCAGTTTCCTGATCTAAAATATTTGTATCTTTCTGGGAAAGAAAACTGGACTGCCAAGAGCATAGAGAATTAGGTAGATGCTCCAGCCTACTGTCATAGAAAATATGAGACAGGACTCTCTCCCTGGCCTTCAGTTAGGCTGCTTTCTGTTCTCTTTTCTGCTGGCTTCAACCTTGATCTGGTGAGCCCAGTTTGAGCAAAGAATCTCACTGAGCCCAGTTCTAGTGAGCACCATACCAGGCCAGTTCAGGGAGAATTCCTCAGCCTTATGAACTAACTAATCAAGTTCCTCATCCCAAACTTAGACAGTAAGCTCTTATTTGTTTCCTGTCCCTGAGTACCTCACCTTCATACTGGCTACAAATCCCTGTATGCAGAGCTGAATTTAGATATCTATGCAAGTCTCTCACCCCCACTTCAATCACTCACATAAAATCTGACTTACCTTTTTTTTTATTATGGAGAAAAAGAAAAAAAAACAGAAATAGAGTACAAGTTATACAGAATTTCAGAAAAAAATAAACAATAGGAAATCACTAGTTAATAGATTACATATTGTTATCTTAGAAATAGTTGTTCAAGTTACAAAATCAAAGCATATAAAGTAGACTTTCAAACAGTGAGACTGGAAACAGTTTTGTTCAATGATCCAACAAAACTCAGTAATATGGTTATCTATCTCATTTTTAACACATACTCAAGGCAGTTTGTTAACAGACAGTAGCAACTTTGGAGGAAGGGGCCCAGGGCCTGAGAAGACACTGTTGGAAAACCAGTCCTACAGGAAAACATGATGCCCACATAGGGATGAGTCCTTGTCTTATACCCACATATCTAACATTCAAAGCTGGCTTTTGTGTTCTCCCATAATAAGAAATGATAGATTTGAAAAGAAAAAATAAAGCCAGGAGACATGCCTTCCTGCCCAACCAGAGTTGGTTGGTACATTTTCTGTGGCCTGCATCAGTAGTCCTCAGCCTCAAGCCAGCATGTACTTGGTCGCTAAGTCACTAAAACTCTCAGCATCTGAGGAGGAAGCATCCCCATGCAAGAGCATGGTGAAACCCATCCTGAGCTGACTAAATCCTGAGATAAAATAGAACACACAGGTCACATTTAAGTCACCAGGTCTGATTGTTCTTACAGACACATTGGCTGTCTGTCCAAAGGAAAAAGCATCATTCTCCTCAATGTCCTCAAGTTCCCTGCAAAGTACAGATGGGCAGAGTTGCTTCCTGGGCCTATCTTTGTGGGCCACTCAGAATCATCCATCATGTAGTCACAGCTGGACCACAGGCAAGTTCTGTGCAAGGGTTTCAAAGGCTTTAAATAAATACTTGCCACTATTAAAGAATAAGCTGTAAACTGTGCTTTTGGGTTTCCAGAGAGGATTAAATATGAAAAGGTCTTTCAAATAATATTTTTGTCTTAGGTTGACTATGTCAGTTATGGAAAGAAATACAGGTCTCTGGTATCATTGGTATAAGACATGGCAGCCGGTAATAAAATAGAAGCTACCTATCTATCTATCTGTATATCTATCTATCTATCTATCTATCTATCTATCTATCTATCTATGTATATATCCATATATAACTACATACATATATACATACAAAAGATACATATATATTTTTCACCTGCAGCTAAACCTCAACTGCTACCCTTATGAATTAAAATTAAAATGAGGATTAAAAACAAAATTTGCTATATTAAAACATTCGTTTAGAATTTTTTTGCCAGTCTCTGAATTGAATATTCTACTTCCCTGGTAATCATAGTACAGTAGCATCAGAACATTTGACCTAAATCCATTTGATTTCTAAAACAAAAGAGGTGAGAGATTGTTTTTACAAAATTTATGTTAACAAACTTAATAAGAGTTATGAACTGTAACCATCTCACCTACTGTTTTTACAGTTTAGTGGCTGTGAATTGAAGCTTCGTAAAAAATGATTTATGGATGCTGAGTTAACGTGCCTTTATTTAAATGCACCCCCCCACCCTTTCCAAGAGAACTACATATTTGCCCCATTGCTCATTCCTGGTGGAACCCCACTCACTCTGTGCTGGCCCAACCTGGCACACTCAGCTGTCTGTGGTCACCACAGGTTCCAAAGGCACCACCCGAAGCAACCAATACTCCCTTTGCATTATTTGCTTTTTTTTTTTCCAGAAATTACTGGCATGGAGGCCAGAGTGTTTAGAAATTCAAATCAGCTTCAAATCTTGCCAGAGCCACAGAGTTAGCATCTCATGTTTGGGGGGAACTAGATGCTGAAGTACACTTCATTATTGATAAAAAAACATATATATATATATATATATATATATATATATATATATATCCAAAGGAGAAAGGAGAGAGAGAGAGACAGAGAGACAAGGAGAGAGACCCCACCAGATCTTGACCCATTTCTTTACCTGTATTCAAAAGACTTTCATTTCTTTCCCAGGCAGAGTGATCTTTGGCAGGTGAGAAAAACTGACTGTGGATCTGGAAAATAAACAGAAACCTGTCCCAGTTTTATATTTTTACTTGCCAGATATGTAATCTTCAAGAATTTTTTTTTAAAAAAATAGGAACATCCCTAGAATTTCTGCTTTCTCACAAAAAGAACTACGGAGTGCACTGAATACCTATTTTCATTTTCTCCTGAGCAAAATACCAGTGAATAAAAGGTAAGTTTGTGATGATTTCAAAATACACAAGAAGAAAGGAGGGAAAAGAGAAATGCAGTAACAGCCAATGTGGATTCTACTGTGGATTTTGTTAGTAGATCAAAGACCTACACCTAACATTTCTGTTCCTACCCATCACAGTTCTAGAGGGATATTGGGCTAAAACTGAACATTCAATAAATATTGATCCACCATGGACAATTAAATATCAAGAATCAGCTTTTAGAGCCCAAGGAAAATAATGCTAATAGTGTACAACAGTATTCTGCTTTATGCAAGTGTGATTAATATGCTGATTTCCTCTTCCAAAGGCAAAATTTTGTTCTATCAATTTGTTCTGAGAGCAGTTTACTATGAGACTCGAGGCTGCAGAACAACCTATTCCATCTGGAATTGCCCAGATTCTCCCTCAGCCATTGGAATCTACTCTGGCTTTCTTTACCAAGGCTGAGGAACAAGTCCAGCCCAACCTGGGCCTGAGTTGAAGCGACAACTCACTCTTGGAGCTCACTTCCAGCTCACACCCTGAACCTCAGTAGATTGCTTAGTCCTGAGGCTGTAAAGCTTTTTGGTGATTTGTTCTCATTTTTTAGCCATTCTCACCCCAATCATCTGTGCAACCCATTCAAGGGTCACAGGAAGAAGCTGCAGCTTACATCCCAAGTAAGAGTCTGGCGTCCCCTCACTCATGGGGACAGACAAGGAGTGGCTGGGATGTTGATGGGGCTGGCCTGAGATCGGGAGAATCAGTAGTTATCACCATTTCTGCCCTGGCCCAGCCTCCCAGCTCTGGGTCCACTCAGCCTCTGCCAAGTGGTAACATGGCAATTAATCATAATATGAAATGCTGACACTAGTTAGACTTCAAAGATACTGGTCCTTATACTTTAGTGCTTTACCTATATTGTCTTGTTGAATTCTCATGCCTGTTAGAAAGATGTGCTTTGCTTTACCTTGTTTGTTTTTCAGTCTTTGTTGTTTTCAGTCCTGGGAATTGACCAGGGAGCCCTGAGATACATCCACAGTTCTTTTTTTTAAATTTCATTTTTGAGAGAGGGTCTTGCTAAGTTGCCCAGGCTGTCCTCTAACTTGTAATCCTCCTATTTTAGCTGCCTAGTTATCTGGGAATACAGGTGTGCACTACCAAGACTAGCAGAGAGATATTTTTAATTAGTACTGCCCCATGTCAGCTGAGAAAATGAAGGTTTCAGTGAAAAAACAGGCCAAGGTCACCTGGTTCGGACAAGATGAGACCAAGATTCAGATCAGGCCAGTCAGAGCCAAAGCTCTGGAACTTTCAGCCAGTGTGTCCCAAATATTGTTATTATTATTGCTAAGGATTACTACTTGGCTAGTTGGCTCTGTCAGTGCTTACATGATCTTTATTACTTCCACGTGTCCTTTCCTTAGATTTAGCACAGACATGTGAGAGGATAATGCATACACCCTGGGTAATACCTGGAAAAGTTTCAGGGAGAAATAAAAAGGTTATGACATTGGAAACTGGATTGGAAAATAATTTAAATGCCAAGATCAGCAGCAAAAGTGAGCTCGTCTTTGCTGCTTCAATAAAACCAAGCATGTAGGTCTGGGAATAGTTGGGGTGATCCAAGGGTGTGAGGAAGCTGATGGAGTACCGCAAGTGGAGGATTATGGGTTGGCAGAATTGTGAACTCTTCTCCCTTGGGCTACCATCTTTTAAGGATTGTTGTGCACATATTTTGAAACAGCCACCAAGTCTAGTAAGTTATCTAACTATAGATATGCTAATGGGGAATAAATTTTATCTTATTTATTCCTGATGTCCTTCCCCAGCTCATAATTTTTGAATTTTTTCCAACTGATTTAAAATATAATAAAGCAGATTTATGAAGTCATTGTCAAAATTTCAGAAGTGTGTGAATTATCTCATAACAGGAAATGGTTTGTAGGCAGGTCTATAGGTCCATAAGACTGGAAGTCCCCAGGGGCAGGGCTATCTGTACATCTTGGGTGTCTGGCACAGGGATGATACTAAGCAGAAGGTTAATGAATGCCTGCAGAAGAAAGGGAGGAGGGAGAGAATGAAAGAAGGGAGTAAAGAAAGGAAAGAAACTGAGGGGAAAAGAAGGAGAAAGGGAAAAGGGGAAGGAGAAAGGAAAGCTTGGGGAGAAAACAGGAGAAAGGAGGCAAGAGTCACCTATCAAGGTTAAGAATTAAGAAGTGGATATCAGCCTCTGGTGTCCTGCAATTCCTAGAATTAACTGGCACTCATTTTACAAGTCGAAATATTTTCTAACAACGATTTACACCCATTCTTACAGTATATCACATAGACTGAGACTGTGAGTAGTCAAGTGCCTTCTAACCCAATCATTTCAGGGCTGTCTGTGTTTTGTCTCTGAAGCATGTGGGGTCACTAAATGAAGAAAGCAATAATCTACCAAAGCCACACAATGGTGGCATGATAAGGGTGTTTTCTAGTTGCCAGTGACCCAGAGTTGGTGCAGCCTAAGGTCCCATGAAGAGCTACCATAACATGAGGGTATGCATCTCATGCATTCTCCAGAAACTGGATAATAAGTGCTATTATTTCCACTTGCAAATGGGGCTATTGAAACATGGAGAGATTAAGTAACTTTCTCAAGATCACCCACTAAGCAAGCAAGAGATCTCAGATTTAGAAGTTAGTCAGCTAGGATCACTCCTTGGGAACAGAAAACTATTATTAGGATCAAGCACCTTAAAAAAAATTCTGACACCTCACAGTAATATGGAATGCTGAAGTCTGCAAAACTTAACTTTCTAATAAACACTACAGCACCTTGTTTTGATTCTCCGAAGTCCCTGAGCAGTAACTAAGACACATAGTTTTGTTGTTTGTAGATGATGAAACCAGGGCCCTGAGAGGTTAAGAACCCAAGTGGCCCAGAATGAGGTGCCTACACCAGCCCTCCTAACCTTTCACCCAGCACACTGCCTGCTTCCTTGAGGAAAACAGCACTGTCAACAGTGTGCCACCAAAGTCCTATTGTCAAGCTTCCTATCTTCTAGGACAATGAAGTAACATCAAGGTGATCCGTGAATCCCATCAGCAGGCAGAGGTGGTGCTCTCATGAGCTTTAGCGGAACACAGTAGGTATGATACCAATGAATCTTTCATGTGCATAAGACTGAGCTATTCCAGAGTAACTTCAGAACTTTCTCACTTGACTGTCCCACATGCTGCCATTGTAGCTGGGCTCTAAAAGACATACATGCTACTGCTTTTGCAGTTTTTATTGTTTCCTGACCCCTTCTTTAAGACAACTGAGTATTCACCATGGATCTATGATCCTTTATTTCCAATTCTAAAAGGCATAGAGCTCTAAAATTTGAGAGTTCTTCTCCATGGATTTGTAGCAAGTAAAGCTAAACTAATCTCAAACCCTTACCTAAACTAACCTAAGGCTATTTATAACATTGATTTATTCCATTTAGTGTGAATTTTCATAGATTTTTAATGCAAAAACATCAGTGAGCTTAATGATAGGTTGCTACCCCAGATTTCCCTCAAGATGGTACACAGATTCAGCGTTTCAAAATCAAAAGAATTGCTGTTGAGTCAAATTGGGTCCCCAGAGTTTGGCAAATAGGATTGCCGCTCAGTATCATGGATGATTAATGAACACTTGTTGTCAGCTCCTAGTTTTGGGTTTTCCGTATGTCTCTCATCCAATCCTCACAGAAACCCCCACAACACAGATGGTATAGGTAGGGACACTGGCTGTGGAGAGATTCGGTGATTTACTCTGTCATAGATTTACTAAGCCCCAGCCTTGTGCATACTCTGGTTTCACCTCTGCATTCAAATCTTTGGACTGTCCTTTCTCCAGCTAGAATACAGTATGCATGCATGTGTGTGTGCTCACATGTGTCCACATGTATGCCATTTACCTGAGGAGTGGAGGTAGAGATAGCTCTTAAGTTCCATAAAGCACTGAATAATTGTGGGAATTAAATTTCATATGCTCCAGGAAAGAGAGAGGGGAAAAAACAGTTAAGAATTTACAGATCTACAAAAATTTGGTTGCCAATACCCCACCTCCCCAACTTTGCCATTCTGGACACATGCATGGTTCAGTGAGAAAGAGAGGTGATATCCCAAATCTACTTGTGTCCCAAGGATTCAGACACCAAGGGTAGATTTTTGGATTATGACTTCTGGCTGGATCAGTGGATAATGCTGAGGTCCAAACAAAGGAAAGCTATCTTTTTTTAGCACCAGACTACCTTTTTCTGGGACAGAGAATATTCCACTGGGGGCAGACAACATGTCAAATGGATGGGTCTTTTAGACTACTGGTTTACACAGATTCTTGGGTATGATGTATCTCTCCAACACCAATCTCGATGCGTGATTGATCTTTGCAGGGCAATATGTTTGTTTTCAATCTTCTGAATTCTCTTCTGCAACAACAATTAATGTCAGACAGTGTATTTTCTGGTTAATGCAGCTCTGCACCTATAATAACTCAAAACTGAGATTTATCTCTGTACCATGACTGCCTCTTCATGCTTCATCTCTTCATGTTTACATCTGGTTTAACTTTTTCTAATCTAAAATAAATCAGCATGAAATGCATTAGATTTTTCATTTAGATTCTCAATTGCCTTTTATTACCGAGATAATATCCCTTATCTGATTGTAAATGGTGAGATCGTTCCCTTGTCAGGATCCAAATGCTGCAGTTCATTCTTTCCAACTCTCCTTTTTTCTCCTTCACTCTTATTTCCAAGGGCCTGGTGAGGTTCTGATTTGAAAATGAGACAAATCAGGATGCAAACTGATATGTT